ACTCGACATATATTGCCACTTGCCATATATCGCCACTCGCCATATATCGCCACTCGCCATATATCGCCACTCGCCATATATCGCCACTCGCCATATATCGCCACTCGCCATATATCGCCACTCGCCATATATCGCCACTCGCCATATATCGCCACTCGCCATATATCGCCACTCGCCATATATCGCCACTCGCCATATATCGCCACTCGCCATATATCGCCACTCGCCATATATCGCCACTCGACATATATTGCCACTCGCCATATATCGCCACTTACCACATATTGCCACTTGCCATATATCGCCACTCGATATATATTGCCACTTGCCATATATTGCCACTCGCCATATATTGCCACTTGCCATATATTGCCACTCGCCATATATTGCCACTCGCCATATATCGCCACACGTTTCAATTTGATACGTGTTACATTGCTACGCGTTATATTTCAGTACTTATTATATTGCCACGTGCTGTATACCCTCACTCGCTATATATTGCCACTCGTCATATATTTCCATATGTGCATTTCTCTACGCATTAAATTACTACATATTGCATTGTTATACATCGCATCAAAAGATTCAATTGCTTTAGCGACAAAGCTTCAACTATCAAACCTCTCTCTATATTGCCATATAGTCAGATTTGTCGCCACAGCAGTGTAACGTGAATCTTTTCTGTAGTTCACTTGTTAATGTCCTCTGAATATGTTTTTTATAAATCGCATATATGTTTTAGTTTATTGCATATCTAATTATATCGCTGCATTTGAATAAATTCTCTAAATACAAAATGCAGCATATCTCAAAACGGAATACAGATTCGTTGGCTCCGTTTATGGGAACAATTCAGTGTCTTTATTTATCCATACAATTTTTATTTGCTTTTAAAATCAAACATTTGCAATTGTCATAATTGTGCATTCAGAATCGTCCCACAAGTTTACCTTTTGAACCTTTTTATTTTGCTTTATTGAAAAGTGCTCTAACAAAAATTCGCCATTCAAAAAATTCTATCCTGAAACAGTTAACTTCCTGCTACACGTCACGAGAAGAGTTGCAGAAATTCCGGTGAAAAAAGTTTGTTTCCGTTTTGTTGTCACGGACGTTAGATAATTGTTCAACGCTTGAAAAACAATCACAGCTTTTCGCTATCCCGTGAGAAGTCATCTCGTGGCGTGCGAACGGTGTGGCAATAATTTTGTGACTCAC